TGGAGCTCAACGCATGGTCTGGAGTTACTGAATTTGGTCAGCAGTGGCGGAATCATGTATACGCACTACTGAGAATTTCAATAATAGGACGAACCGGGGGTTCATTTACTTAATAATAGTTGTTTATTACAAGCAATCACAAACATCCCTTTTCATGTCTTATAACGTGAATTGTCCTATTTATGAAATAATTTCCTCTTAAACATTAGCGTGTAAACGAAACTAAGAAATAATTGTTTACTTTCCTATGAAATATTCTTGCATTGCTAATTGGAATTTAGATTTACGTACATTTTTTTAAAAAGTGGATAAAATAGTACTTCCAGTTACCTGTACAACGTTTAGAACAAAATCTAAAACTTAGTAGGTAGGATATTATTTGTTTAGTTAGCCTTATTTAATGTAATAAAATTCATGAAACACATTAGAATATTGTTTTCACAAAATTTGAGTATCTTACTTTACCTACATAACCATAGGAATATTACTGGGATCACGAACCGACTAAAGTTAAAAGACCATTGGAAACTAGGAAGCTCTGGACCCCCGGTTCGTCCTATTATTGAAATTCTCAGTAGTGCGTATACATGATTTCGCCACTGCTGACCAAATTCAGTAACTCCAGACCATGCGTTGAGCTCCAAACATTAAGACCACCAAACCGTCATCCGGTTTTGTATAAATCTATCTTCAATTAGTCCGAGATATCAGGCGACCATCATCTACTATCTTCGGTGGTTAAAATCCACTAGTTACAGCTCTTCGTTAGTACTCTTGGATGAAAGTACTCCCCGATTTTCAACGGTTGTCTAACTTGAGTTGGTTCGTAATCTGAGTAACACTCAACAATCTCCACAAAATACTTATATTAACTAGTAAGAATATATTTTGTGACTCCAGATTAATTTATACTCATCAAATGTGAACTTTAAACGCCCAGTTTACTTATCTAATTTATATAAAACACACAGTCTATTAAAGTGCTAACTATTCCAAAAGCAAACAGTCGGGAAAGTCTGTACTTGCTCATTCTTGTTTATTCTTTACGCAAAGGAAAGGTGATCAAATCTGAATTTACGTATCAAAACTGTTGTCGGGGCAAACTTGACTGGAAGTGTTTAAATGTTGATGGCAGATAATTACTTCGTAAAAAATTCCAATATAATTTCCTACTTAAATTCGTTCTAAAGTGGTGTTTTTTTGCTGCAATATTATATCATTTTGTATGAAAAGTTCGTTAATGCTACCAAGCATATGTTATTTAGTAAAATGAATGTCAGTGTTTATTATTATCATTACATGAGTTTATGCTATTAATTTCAGATCGTTTCATGTAAATATATTTATTCACTAAGACTGGATATCATATTGATTGATTTGCCTTTTTAATACTGTACATAGGGCTAGCCAAACAGTAAATAAGCTGATATTCTGTGGATTCCTAAACCTCTTCCTCCTCCCAATAAAAAAATGTTCTTTCCTCTATACTTTTCTATAAAGTATGTAAACTAATTTATTGCACTTAAAATCTAGATCAACGGGACCATAAATTTAGAAAGACAGACAAAGATTAAGAATGAAAAATAGTATCACTGATTATTCGCCGTTTTATATAGAAATTTTTATACTAGCCATGTATTTTGTTTTTCTATGTCACTTCTCTAAAGCATATTTCACATAACAAAATCTTCAGGTTGATTTAGTTAGTTCTTCAGTAGATTTTATACTAATTACTAATAATAGGTAGTACATCTCACTTTAGATAAAAACAGCAGCAAATTTTGGTCTTCTCACATACAACTTTCCTACATTTAATTTTGATTATTGTTCATTTTTGTTAAACCCTTTTATTAACTTAACAGACAACGTTATTCGAACAGTGACAAGTTACATATTTTTTTTTGTACTATTATGATTACTACCGCATCTGTATAAACGTGTAGTCTTGACCACATGACAAACTCTAGCTAAAATGTTGGTAGTCTAAATATCGCTCGATGAATCATTCTCTTCTCCATGTATATATGTACTCGAATCCTATTATTAGCCTTTGCCTTTCTTATTCCCGCCATATTCGATTTGACTATAAATTTGCCTATGTATTTGCTCGCAAGTTGGGCGACATTATATAACATGTTCTAAACAGTGACATACTGTTCGAAATTTTAAGAATGTATTGAATTTGTTATTTTTCAAAAACAACTATCTTGACATTATAATTAACCCAGTGGGTAGTCAGTTTAGGACTTCATGCCAACATATGGACATTCGATTGACTGCTAAATCGTAAGGTAATATAAATAACATTTTTAAGTGCAAGAATGTACTATTATTGATAAAATAATATAATTTCTAAACAATAGTTCAGTAGAGGAAGCAGGTCAAACTTGGATGAATATGTAGGGGTCGGGATCGAACAATGTTGGGAAAAAACGAAGGTATACAAGAGAATTCTCGAAAGGATTTGTTTTTATGTATCATATTATCACTGTGATCCAAATAACTAACAGTGAACTGATTTATATATTTTTCGCACAGATGGTGGGTTCAGTCGACTGTCTTTCTGGTGTATATAAACTGGCAGTTCTTTTGATATAGTTTAACTAACACAATAGTACGTTCTCAATGTACTGCTATACTTTTATTTGTCTTATTTTGTCCGAGATTATCATTTTGTATCCATTGGCACATACAATACAGTATATCCAACCTCGTTACTGATAGAATTAAATTCAACTTTGTAATATACTATATACCTATCTATCACAGACCTCAGTTTACAGTTCATATACCTGAAGACCATTAAAACATTCATTGTTGAAATGTTACAGCTTTCTTAATGTCGATTGGTTTACCTTGAAGATACAATCACAAATTCTGCTTATAATATATTTATGATTGTTTCGGAAAGTTTTGAATCATAATACAGATCATACAAACAGATTTTTTAAAATCAAAATCGAAATTTATTATAGTAAATAAACAAAAGTTTGAATTTATATAATTACATATTCCAATTAATTTGTTTATTGATTTGTTCGTTTGGAAATATGATTTCTTCTCTTCACTAATTAATGTACATGGGAAGATCTCTATTCTGTGCACTCTATGAAATGGAAAACATATGTATATGCCAAACAAATTGTACGTTGAATGACCTTTATCTATTGATATAGTTCAGTTAGAAGTATGCAGTGAATGTACATCATTGTATAAACGATCAGTTAATTATATTTTTTACATCGAAAAAAGATTGCTATGGAAGCAACAAAATTAAAATAAGCCATTCTAAACAAAAAAATATTTTATATAGGAAATGACATTTATGTTATCAAGTATATTTGTTGAGTCATATTAGATAAAATACAGTAAAGAGACTCTGAAGAACATAAAATGAAATAAGTTAATATGTCACCGCTGTAATATTTTTAACTGATGTAAGATGTAAAATACTATGGTTTAGCTTGAATTTACTCATAGAAAATAGCTTATTGAGATGTGTATTTCGAGTAATTTTGAAAATATTTGGCCCAATTATGACGGAATCTCTCATGATTAATAGCGTTGATTAGTGTAGACAGCAGGTTATGATCCTTATAGCATAGGTTTAAATAAAATATTAAGATTTTGATAGAGCAAGAACAAACATTGATGCAGAATAGTATGAATTTATATTATTTCATACTATTCTGCATCAATGTTTGTTCTTGTTCTATTTAAATTCACAAAGGGAACCAATTACATGAAAGATTTTGATAGTTGAAATTATTCGCGACATTTTCGATGTTCATTCAATGTGCGTACTAAAAGGCCCTTTTCTCACATTTCTTTTATTTATATAATGAATAATTCGTATAAGTGTCACTTTTATTACAAACTTAATTTTGAACGTTATTTCTTATTATATTTATATCTCATTTAGCATGTCTGACCGGACCACGTTGGACATGCTGATAGCAGATACTTGAAGATAATTCTGGTCACTGTAATATAAATCTTTAAAATTGCACCTCTATATTCTTAGGGAAATTATTCTTTGAAAGGATACACAGGCTGAGTAATAAACTTACTGCTACAGCTTCACGTCTTTTTAGTAAAAGTATATCTCGTTAATTGACTAACTCAAAATACTAGAGTTTTATGTTCTGAGAACACAACATTTTAGTACACTCGCATATTTGTGTATAAATGATTTGAGAAACGAGTTTGTGAATCTAAATTAATGCTGTACTTTCTCATTTGATTGCTAGTTTACATCATCATGTTGGTTTAATATAAAGCTTTGAATGATCATCTACCGATTTGCTTATAATTACAATTCATATAGCTGAATTATTTTTTGTATAAATGGAATATTGCTAGTACCTTCATGGGAAGCAATGGTTAAGTTATTTGATATCCAATCAGTAGATCAGAGATTTAAGTCTCTTCATCCTTCAACAGCATTATTAACTCTCCAGAAGATAGTGTGGCTCAAAGTCAAGTACATAAAGCTATTATTGGTATGTGAGTTAGATTAGTATATAAAATAAACGACTGAATTTAATTAAAAAATGAACTAGTCCTATCACATAAATCTTTATATTCATCTATTTATCAAATGAAATGACTTTCAAACTCAAAAAAATGTAAAGAAAAATCTCTTTTGTTTCTTTCATTATTACTTTCTTAGAGTTTTTTAAAATATAATTATGAGATCAGTATAAATGGGTTGATTAAATTATTCTATATGATAATAATCATAAGAAAAGGAAAAAAAATAAAATAAAATATTAAATGCATATAAGTAGTATAATTCAATCAAATTATAAGTATATATATGAACTCATTTTTAACTTAATATTATTATTAAATAAGCTGGTATATATTCTCTGAACAGAAAAGTAACATAGAAATTTGAAAAATAAGTCATTAATCATAAAGAATATAAGAGGAAGTGAAGGAAATGATGATTAAAAAATATGCAAAGCAAGGTGAATATGAAAAATATTAGAAATAATTTATTTTTCAAATGGTTTAATTTGATTACATGGTAAAGGAGTTGAAGTTATTGATTTAATCATGAATTTTTCTACTTTATCAATACATGCCTCTTGATAATCATGAATCCAACTAAGAAATGAATAAACAAATAAAAAAATGTAATAAATAATTCATTCACTATGTAATTGTAATTTATTAAAATATAATTTATTATATTTCATGATAATTATTATTAAATAACAATTGGCATAATTTTACTGGTTGAAATCACGAGTCATTTGAAGCTAGACCACCATGGAAAACCTGGAAGCAGTGAACGGCCGTTTCGTTCTAGTATGGGACTCCTCAGCAGTGCGCATCCACGATCCCGCACTCCGCGAGATTCGAACCCAGGACCTATCAGATTCGCGCCAGGCGTTTAACCAACTAGACCACATAATTGATAAATTCATGAAAATGAGAAATTAGTTAAAATAGAGTTTATGCATTAATTTCTATTTGATATTTAAACTCCTATAAATGAAAAAGTGGTTAGAAGTTAAATAATGTACATTTTTACAGTTAGTAAAAACTAAATTAAATTGTACTTTCATTTGCATGGATCTTCATGAAATAATATGTAAGGTGTAATATATGGTTGATGTTAAAAGCTATATCATATAATTTTTTATGTTATGTTGTTACATTATTTATGAAATTATCTTACATTTCTTAAGTAGTTGTGAAGATAGTTTGGTTAAAGAGAGAATTACTGAATAATATAATTGCACTATTTACATTGAACTAGAAAGCTTTATTAAGATAAAATGATTTCTAAAACCTAGTAGTTGACATGATAGATAAAATATTCCATAAGGCTTCAAATTAAGTATAAAAAAAAGCAAACTTTGAAAGAATATGTTAATTTAAAAAAAAATATTTCAAGTAATTTAACAACAGTTTCATTTAAGAATCTAATTCTATAAATTTTCATGCAATTGGTTCCCTTTATGAATTTAAATAGAGCAAGAACAAACAGTGATGCAGAACAGTATGAATTCATATTATTTCGAGATTTCTCGTCAGTTGCTTACAAACCGAAATTGTGGTAGAATTTTTTACATGGAGATAGTGTGAAACAATTGACATAAATGAGTGTAAATCACTGGATTACAATAATAACTATATATATATATATATATATATATATATATATATATATATATATATATATAAATTTTAATTAACAGATACTCTTAATAAGTGATTACACATTACAAAATTAAAAACCAATGTTATGATATCAGAATTAGTCAACTTTGTTACTTACTGGCACTCATTAGAAGGACATGTTTTCTAATTTTGAAGGAACTGATAACTCCTGGTGAAATAAAAGCCATCTCTACTCAACAATAATCAGTGATACTACTAGTGAGTTATTGAACCCCTAAGTGATTGTCTGTAGGATTGAGATATTTCATTATTATAAAATAAATATTTAAGTCAATATGGATACACGAGCTAAGACAACTGTATATAGATTCTATTCTCACTTTGTTTATTCTTTTTTTTTCAACTTATACAGCAGATCGCATGTGGTGGAAACTCTGTTCTATCTAAACGATCTTAAGCCACTGACTGTTCGAAAATTTAATGCTACCACCAAATACGAATACTGAAGCAGTTTTTCTGAAAACACGTATGCCATTCAAATTGGCTGCCTTCAACGTTCGCACACTAATGCAGATAGGGTTGGCTATGTCTAGAAAGTCTTAATATCGATGTATGTTGCCTGTCCGAGACCCGTATCCAAGACTGATGAAGTGCTACAAATTCGCTCTTCATCTGTCGTCTCAAAAGGCTTGTTTTACGTGCGTTTATCCAGAGACCCTGTGGCATCTTCGTCTGATTTCTCTGGAGTTTGTGTCGCACTAAGCGCTAGAGCTGAAGCAGCCCTGATCAATTGGATCCGCATTAAAAGTCGGTTATGTGCTGTTAGATTAGAAAGTTCCATCACGGTAAGAAGAAATCGGTGTGAGAAACGATGTCTTTTCGTCATCTCCGCCTATGCTAAAACAGCTTGCAGCCCGGATGCGATCAAGGATACGTTTTACCACTAGCTAACAGTTCTTCTACAGAAAGTGCGTTCAACAGATATTGTAGTACTAGTCGGAGATCTGAATGATCGATTCGGGCGTCCAGGCACAGAGGACAGTTGTTTAGGTGGCCGATGAGGATGTCCTAGTCGTAGGTCAGATAACGGGGACTGTCTACTGCAACTGTGAGCAGACCACAACCTGTTTTCGGCTAGCACTAACCCATGTATTAAATTTGGAATAAGTATATTGAATCTATTTTGCTAATACCGTTGAATAAATAAACACATTAAGATAAATGTAATTTTCTATGCTTAAAAATTCAATACATTTTCCTTTATAAAGTTTGTCATTACAAAAAATTTGTGATTGTAACTTGGTGTATGAATAAATATTTTTAAATTAAAACAGGAACACATTAAATCACTAAATTTGTATTTTTCATGATCAATATGATCATTAATAGTTGTAAATGCTTTTTTTCAAGCAACCTTATCAACTAATGTTATGTTCGTTAAACTTGAACGCTACTACTGATTCGTCTTACTCGGAACGGAACGAAGAATCAAGGATTCAGAGACTCGATAGGCTATACTGGTCCGTTGTCCCCGACTCAGCTAACTCGATCCAGAAGTTTTGGTAAAATGTAGAAAGTATATTCTACAGACAACCAGAGAATACCAGGTTCATCAAGCACACAAATCAAGAGTATTTATACAAAATATATATAATCGATATTGCCATGGAATTTTTTAAACATTTAATCGATAATTTCGTGAATCGACTATGCGCGTGGGTGGTAAATGCCCAAGCATACATCTGCATACAAGCTCCACAAAGATAAAATTACGAAATATGAGTTTTGGGAATCTAACGTCCCCAACAACTAACAATAGAAAAACTCCTTTTTATTCTACTAATCACATACAACCATATTATTTCTAATCATATACTTTTATGTATGTGTGTGGATAGAAAGAAGTTAGTATCATAGATACTCCACGGGTATAAGTATATTAGCTGAATGGAATCGAACTTTAACAAATAAAGTAAATCTATCTATAAATTATTAATTGATTACTAAATGAAATAGACCTTCTAAAGGAATTTTCTCTTTATTTTTCTTGTCTCATTAAAAAAAGCGTCATTAAGCTTCAAATCAAACTAGAATAAAACATCGGTATTCAAAGAGTAAATATATGCAGAAAAACTACACTATTTTATGTATTAACTATCTTATTGTTGCTTCTTTTTATATATTATTTTTTACTACAAAACTTATTTAAGACTGGTTCAATAAATAGAGTGACAAATTGGAGTTGTTAAAAAATTGATCAATATTTAATATCTGTGTTATATTAAAGTATTTCACAAAAAATAGAGCAGAGAAAAATGATGCGACATAGTGGGAAGAAAAAAAGGTTGTTTGCATATTTTGAATTAGTTGGTTACTATGCATGAAATACGGTTGTGGACATATAGTGTGTGAAAATGATTATAGGACGTAAGTATCAATGGAAGAACACTTTTATACATCATTGTTAGTAAACAATCAAGATAATAATAGTAATAATCATATATAATTGTCATATCTTAATTTGGAAGAGTTTGAGTATATATCACCTATCCAAAGGATAAATAAACATTTTTGCCCAAAACACTATTAGCTTAAACAGTGCAGAGAGATTAATGGGATCAAAGTCTTAGTATCTACAAACAAGTTTGACTATTTTGATTTCATGTTATTCAAGCGAAATAGTGTTTCTATAGGAAAAATGCCTTGTCTTGAAATTTAAACTAGTCCCTACAAACATTTAGTCTAAACGAGAACTTATAGTCTACCTATCAAATCGTCAATAGTAGTGAATGTTAAAATCACATCATTAACGAATATGCAATTAGAATTACACATTTATATTACAAATATCACATTTTTTCACATACCGACTTATATACAGACAAATGAAAAATAACCAAGAATCAAAAATTGGTCTGAATGACAAAATACTAACATAACCAAACTAGTTTTCATGTAATACGTACTTGATCTGACTTATTTCCGTGAGCGATATAGATGTGATAAACTGAAAAGAATTATTGATTCTGTATTTAATTGCCATATATGGTTTTATAACAATACCTTGTTATAGGTGCATCAGGTTTAACCAGCCAACCTAGAAAATGTCATGTGGAAATGGAACTGATCGGTATGAGTAAATTGATGTATACTGTATATATCTAGAATTGAAATCGTGCAACTAACTGTTGATGGAAATATTAGATAGAATGTTGAATAAACTGCTAGGTTTGAAGCTATTACGAGTTCGATTAGTAAGCGGACGGAACAAAGACTTGTGACCGTAGACCAGTAAGCTAGCTATTTGATGCGTCCCAGCCCCGCTAACTGGAGGAAGAAGTCCAAGCTTGGAACGGGAAAGTATATTCCGAAAGCCAGAAGCACGAGTGAATAATAACAGACACAAATTAAACGTATATATACAGCATAAAACTGTCCTTGGGAAGCGTAGTGAAAATAGCATACTAAAAATACACAATGGACCATCGGCGTTAAAGATTCTCCCAAGTGGGAAATACGACATGAAGGTGAAAAGTGCGCTTTTGGCGCGAAAACAAGGAAATTTAAATTTCTAAAATAAAATTATAAAATTAAGGCATTTACCAAGTGAATTCTTGGGATCTAACATCCCCAACATAAACATTCAAAAAAATTATTTGCAGTACATCACTCAGACAAACAATATAAGTAGCTTACCTACGCCTGTTACTCCTTGTGAAGGAGCATAGGCCGCTCACCAGCATTCTCCATCCAACCCTGTCCTGGGCAATCCTTTCCAGCTCCTTCCAGTTGTTATTCATCTTTTCCATATCTGCTTCTATTATCCGACGTAATGCGTTCTTAGGCCTTCCTCTTTTCCGCTTCCCTTCCCGCCTGTAGCTCTTCTAGAGTTACTGCCGGTCCCAAGCCCGGGTAAAGGAGGAGGGTTGGGCATGAGGTTAGCGTCCCCATCCCGTAGAAAACTAACTCGCTAAAAAAACGCTAACCAGAAAAAATAATTCAAACCATTTTAATTCTGCCCTGGGAGTTAGAAGGTCTTCATTTAGAAGAATTATGACGCTGCATGGTGAAAGCCGAGTTCCTTCGGAAGCCACGAGGCCGATGCCCCTTCCAACAACCAGAGCAAAAATTTTTGTAGGTACATGGAACGTGCGAACAATATAAGTAGACATATATATAAATTTACAATTATCTATTATTTTGTTACTTGAGTTCATTTTTATTTCACTGAACTTACTTAACTGCATTGTAGGTTGTTATTGACCTCAAATCCTCTGGCAAAGACTCAGCTGGTGGCCATGCAAAATTATCAGTAATTGGTATTATATTACATCCACTTTCCAAGGCACATACAACTTCCTTGATAAATAAAAAAATGTACAGTAATTAAAATGTTTAATTTAGTAAACAGATGAATAATACAACAACAACTAATTTATGATTCTATTAATGTTATCAATGTTTCACATACACATTTTGAAGGCACCTGCTGTATGTGAATCATCATTGAATAAGTTAGATCGCGTTTTCTAAGATCCAACCCCTTCATAAAGTGATTTTAAGTTTATTTATAAGAGACACACGACAACTGACATCACTGTGGTCAAGGCATCAATGTCCACTGAGTTTATAGATGAAACGATTGCCTAATATACAGTCTTAAATTTTGTTTCATAGCAATTATTACGTTTACTTGTATTTCCCTTTCTAATCCAATTAACTTAAAACAAAAGTGAGGACATAATTATTGTAATCAAGGGTTAGAGACTTTGAGTGGCATGACATATGATCGTTCGCAATTGCATTATTGCATCCACTTCTTATCTTCGTTTAGAACCTGAGTCCTGAAATCTCCTGAAATCTTTTTTTCTATACTTAATCTTTTCTACTACTACTAATACTACTATTACTGATACCTTTACTACTTCTACTACTTTAAAATTTGTTGCAGCAACTTGCAAAAACGATGCGTAGTGAAACCAGCTATAAAATGTTTACTTAATAATGGTCATTTATAATTGTGATTAGCAGTTACACTAATGAAATTGTTGGCGTACATAATTTTAATTTTAAAAAGCTTTTATTAGATGACGAATTATTTACACATAAGTATCTACTAACTAAATAAAACTACGAATTATAAATAATCATATTGTTTGGACATTGAACACAGTTGAGATACATAAACAATAAACAATTGAAATTTAGTCCAAAATACAGTAGAAGTAGAAAACAAAATAAAGGAAATCATATCAAGTTTAATGAAGAATTGAAAAGAGAGATTACAAGCAAAATAAGTCAACCCATTTAATTTTATGTTAGACATTACTAAAGCAAAATAATGCGTACTATTTAGAATGTATGACTTATAAATTACTAATTGGTGACTGTCTATTTGTTTATTATTTTATATCCATTTAAACGTATTGCTTCAAATCAAACTCTTCTGTATATTCATGAGTTTAATTAAGATGAATTTATTTTTGGTCAACAAAGTATTATTAAAAAACTGTAGAATGATTCTTTGATTTGTAGATGTATGTGATGTTTTTTAGAAACTAGTTTCGAAAAGATTATTTCAAGTGGAGTATTCCCCTGAAACGGCTATATATATTCACATACCATATAATAATGAAATAAACGCATGTATAGATAAAAATTAACTAACTTTATGTATCCAATCTGTACAATGTATATCATTTAAACATCTATCTAATGCTCTTGGTGTTAAAACAAGAACAAAATTATATGATGATCTAATAGAATGAAGTAATGATTCATGAAATTTTCCAGCAGTTAAACGATCAATATCTAAAAATACTCGATAGCCACGTAAATGAAAATGAACTTTTAATAAACTCGCCAGTTGAGAACCAGTAGAACGACGGTAAGAAATAAATATATCAATATACTTGTTTGGATGACTTGAAGCGTTTAATTTGGAATCATTATCTGTAAGACGTAACTGATTATGTATTGATATGGAAGCTAAAATGAAGGATAAGAAAAGTACAGTTAATTGGACATGTGAATGTTATATCAATAATGATAATAAAAGTTATAAAAATAAATTTATAAGCACAGTAGTTGTGTATGGCCTAATATTTCAGTGACATGGCCCAAGACAGCATGATGATCAATGCAAAAATCTCTTTAGTTGATATTTTTTGGTAATCGGTGATATTGGAATCAAATTTGTTTCGTCATAATTTGAGTGCTTACACCTATGTTGAGGACCTTAGATCCACAGAACTCACTTGGAAAAGGTCCTAATTTTGTGATTTTATTCTGAAAATTTGAACTTTGTGTTCTCGCGCCAAGAGACGCTTGGTTGACCTACAGCTTACATTTCCCACTCGGAAATCCTTGACTGTCACTAGTTGACGGATTTTTTTAGTACGCTATTTTGTGACTCTCCCAATGGCGTTTCTATCATTGTATAAATAAGCTTGATTCGTGTGCTTAGTAACCTCTTATTTTCTGGGTGCTTGTAGAATACATTATCTACGCCTCATCAGGACTTCTTGATCTAGTTAGCGGGGCCGGGACAACGGATTATAATAGCCTATCGTGTCACTGTATCTTTGACGTTCGTTCCGTTACCGAGTAAGGTGAACTCGTAATAGCATTCAAGCATATCAACCAAGCCAAGACAAAAATTAACATATATCGTTAAAACAATATATCCTCAAGACTTCTTACCGTATAACGTGTTAACTGAAAGATTTATATATATATGAATTGTTTTCACCAACCACACGAAATGCTTATCGCGATTATGATTAAAATTTTTTATTCATAGTGGAAATTTGTTATCTTTTGGTGTAGAGTTTCAGATTTCGCCCAGCAGTTAAGTGATAACAAAACTCTGCTGTCACTTAATAATTAAGGACAATGATCTTGATGGAATCGTAGTGTATAAAAATCAAAACGATGGACTAATCATACCATACAGTAAATTCACAATATTATGCTCATCAGTTTATAACGACAGATTTTAGTTAATACCATATATAACTAACACATTATACCCACAGGCTTTTAATTGTAATCAGGTGTGGAAACTTTGTTTGCTGTGATAAAATGATCAACTAAAGAGAAACGTACTATCTATAAATGCAACTTGTGGGTAAGTTAATTACTAAACAGCTGACGGTTTGTTTATTGTGCTCTATAATGGTCAATAAATTACATAAAATTGAACTTTAGAAAACCAAAAGTTTATTTAAACTTTATACGCTAGATTGTAACCAATTGATTGATTTCACCATCACATGAGGTTAGGTAGAAAAGGCAGTACACTACATCAAATCAATCAAATAATTATCTCTTTCAAAAATTCACCAATCAACTGAATGAGAGGATAGACATTTTTAAGTCCACCTTTATGCATTATTTATCATATGGCATGAATGAAAATTGTGCAATATGTTTATGAATAACATTTTTTGAAATGTAAGACAATAACAGGAAATAGTTAAGTCAACGTGTTGTGGTTTATCTACCATTAGAGCGAGGGAAAATGTTATTTGTATGAGGCAACGCGATAAGGTTTTAATATCAATAAATAGCATGTTCAATGAACTTTTTCATTTTTTTATCTTCAACTGTTGTGAACCATATGTCTAGTATATGTATACTAACGATGTTGATTTGAAAAAGAACAAAACTCAGTTGAATAGACTGAAAACCTATTAGCCAGTAATTGGATACGGAATACTTGAGGAAGAAAAATACATAACAGATCCATTGGGCGGAAGCTATTGAAAATGTACTTGAATTTTGTGTGAAATCATGTGCGCGCGTATTTTGATATAGTTTCATGAAATTTATTTATGATTAAGCGTTGCATACAGTCTTGGTTTGTTTACGTAAGAATATTAGATATTGGCTTTAATTTCTGGTGACAAGGAAAACAACGTATTATCGTTTACGAAAGTGTAAAACGAGGTAGTAATAAATGAGTTCATTGAATAATTAAAATTGATCGTGGTAATAATTCTAAGTATTAGTGTCATAAAAAATCTATATCGAATTAACAACTCAGTTGACTTATAGAAAAGAGGCTTAATGACATACTATACGGTAGGCGAATAATTATGATGTACGACTATGTTTTATTTCAATTTAGATAATTTGAGTGACGTTTCTAAAATAAGTTTGAGTTGCTATTGACCAGAATCCTTGCTGTGTGATAACCTGACTTATTTTCAATCCAAAAGTGTATTTTTCTTACAAAATAGTAATCTAAATATTAATCGAAAATACAGTTATCTAATATAGTAAGTATTTCGAACCAACTTTAAAACAGGTAAACGCTACGTTTTACTTACATTGTATTGCTTCTAAAATTCGTTTACGATGTATTCCATTTTTAATGTGACAATCTTCTAAAAGCATTTTATCTGATAAATAAGGTAAGAAAGGATAATGTACTCCGGCTGAAATAAAATTATATGCATATTGAAGAAGATCGAATGATTGATTTAAACAGGATAAATCATGTGTATAACAATATTTCGACTTATATTCTGATGCATTAGTAGAAGCCGTTGTCCATTGAAAATCATTTTTAATTACAACATAATCTGATGTCGTTGGATTTCTTGGTGTATTCGTATTATTTAAAGCAGTGGTACGTGTAGCTTCACGTAGCCAAGCAGAAATTCCAGTTGGATCAACAGCTGAATAATCTGCATTAATCTTCAAAGAGCATAATTCACGTAATAACCTGTTGTTGTTTTTTTAAAAAGAAGAAACAGTGAGATGAAATAATAAGACATTTACCTAGATCGCGTGATTCCATTTTCAAGTCCTAAATCCTTCTCTAATTTGAATTCATCTAATCTAAGTAATAAATCACCATCAACACGTAGCTTTGAAAATTTACTAGCCAAATCTTCAAATCCTCTCTAAGGAAAAAGAAAAATTAAATTTTGTTTTATTGATACCATTCATTGTTTTATGTACAGTTAACAAAGCATTATGAACGATATGATGATGATTTAGTCAATGTTATAAAGAACAACATAACATTATTCAGTTTTTGAAAATATTCAATTTTAGAAATATATTCATTGGTAGTGACTGTATCTTACGGTATCAGTTTATATATATATATATATATATATATATATATATATATATATATATATATATATATAACATTTATTAAACATGTATTTCCTTTGTATTGAAAGCACTTTCAATTCTGCAACATAAATACTATCCATTTATATGGCTTACATAAATGTGGTTTTCTGAAAATAAAACAATTGTCGTCTTGAAATCCAATAACCATATCATATAAAAGGAAAATCAATTTTTCCAAAAGACTGATTTTGTCTGAATAACTCCAAAAAAGTGTAGTATTACAGTTTCAGCCAAAGTATTTGCTTATCCTCATTTCTTTAGAATAGAGTTATGGATGATTGTTGATCAGTACAGCGAATAAATTGAAATTGAATATGTATAAATAATTGGATCCAAAATCAGTGATCAAGATGACGTTTTGGGTACATGATGATGGGAGGGTCCGATACTAAGACAAAAGAGCTATCTAGTGCTCCCTGGTTTCAAATGATTGTCTAACCGCTCGGTGGTGTAAACTATCCCCATATTCTTACCCTACTGAAAATGATAGAATTTAGTAAAGTCACACAGGAGCTGTCCAAAATAAATATCACGGCTTTATTTCCCGAGAGCTTAGCAAAAAAATATACACGAAATGTATACCGTTGCATGAGCTCAAAAGCATTAACCATAATATACATGTGAGAAAAAACGCAGGCGTAGTAGTTCTGTTAGTAGAGTCATGTGAGTAACATATCTGTTCCCTGCCTGTTAGTGATAAACAATATGGCGGTGATACTACAAGATACCTAATCATTGTAGAAATTGATGCAAAGTGGCTTATCCTTCTTCTTTACACCAATCCCGAATTGTTAAACTATAGCTATATACAGAGTGCCAGAATTAAAAACTACTTGAACGAGGGAGACAATATTATGACATATTTCATTCCAGATCATTCGATGACACTTGTCGTTGGATTTGAAACTAAGACAGGAAGACAGTACTCAATCGCTTTTATCCAGACCAATGTTGTAGATATAATGTAATGTATTATTTCTCAATAATTCATAACATCCACTTTTTATAACCTACTTAGTTCATATCTTAAACGTATGGAGAGACAATTAAACTTGTTAATAACACCGAGCCCCAGACAGTTTTTTCTGAAATATTATAAGACTAGAAATTCAAACCAAGTTATCACATTTTATGAAAGAATTTCAGAGACTTAAATTATGAAAACTGGTAAACTGTAGTTAACCTCTATTTTATCAGTATGGTCCCGACAATTGTCCGTTTTGATAGAAAATAAGATGAATTTATGATTGCTCTGACTATCAAATATACATTTTACAGTCTTTAATGTTTAATTAATTTAATAAAACATGAATCTGATAGTCTATTATTAGTAATGATATATACACAAATCATATACATATATGAACTGACTCGAGTCAACCAGCGTTCAACTTCACCATAATCCCATAACGGTACTTGGGCTGACAATCGACAAGGGACGTCTTCACCTAAAATATGTAAGGCCATTGCTGCGAATTTCGACTCAAGAAAAGTTGAACTACAGACAACATTACGCAAGATTTCTACGATATCTGATTCGTAAAACGCCTTGAAAAAGAATAATAATGGTGATACAATCAATTGAAAATAAGTAAACAAAATGTCAAACATTTAGGTTACTTGCCTGACTTAAAAACGTTTCAAAAGTTTGTTATGTATCTTCATCACAGTGTCTTAATTTCTTTATGGATGGTAAATAAGTTTTAGCAAAGGTCTGCTTAATAGTAAATAATAGTTTAGTTTCACTTTTGAAGAACTGATGTGATTCAGACTCAAGTTATACTACTCAGGTAACTCAAACGTAATCTTCTTACCTACAAACATTTTGAAGTATTGAGAGCGTCGGCCACTACACTCGTTTCAGTCTAATCACTCCTGGTTTATTAGTATCTCATGAGATAACAATCAGTATATAAAAAGATAGTTTAGGTTTCGCTAATTTGCATCATCAGGAGCAGGTAAGATATCTGACTACCTAGTGAATGACAAGTATATGGCACAGTAGATGATTTCATAGTAATCTACAGCTGTAGAACGACCAGTGAACATAGCAGACATATATATATATATATATATATATATATATATATATATATATATATATATATATATATATAGTATTTATTCAACTATAAAGATAAAAATAAAAGCCAGGTGTAAAGATATGAGATTGATTTGTTAGCTGGTACAGGAGTACATCAGGAAAAAATTTAGCGTGAACTAAATACCAATCACTTAGTAGCAAAGACAGTATTTCATATTTATACTATATTATGAAAAAAATATGACGACAAAAAGTCAGTCCGTCAGTAACAACGTAGAACTTCGTACATACGTACATCAGTTCGAGTTGCCATACCAAATCAGCACAGAGATAAAACTGTCGATTCAAATCCCATAGTGGTAGAAGTAGTAAAAGTATAAGCAGTAATCGTGAAGATAAGGGTTTGAAGATGTTATCCAAGGAGTATAATCCAGTGAAATCAATTTGGAAAGAAAAAAGAGGGACATGAAGAATTCAGAAGATTAGGATTTGGGAGAACACAAAGAGTTGATGCACCCACACCATTGCAAACTATTTTGAGCCATGTCATTCAGGGTCTCTAACCATCAGTTGCTATCATCTCGCGGTCCCCAACCAGGTAGTCTACACCTAACAACATGACTCAATCCACTTGTCAGTGACTTCATGGATTTGTGCCATGTTTTGGTCTGGCCACCCCTGGCTTTCTTCCAACATACACCTATACCATAAAAACATCGCACATCGTTGCAGTCTGTTGTTGGGTATACGTAACACGTATCCCAGCCATCTCAACTGATGAAGTTAGATGACCAGAAAGCATATTTTACATGTGAAGAACCACCAGAGCACTCATAAATTTATAGATAATACTTTGAAACATAGGGTTGAAGAAAATTGGGCAAAGTAAGTAGTTGCAAGCAACTCATTTTAACATTTCTGGCTAGATATAAAGACGTTTGTCAAGTTCATTTAACTACGTAAAACAAACGGATACATGTGACTGCCCAAACAGATCACATGGAGTTGTTAGAATGTTTTCTTTCGTTGATTATAGGCTCAATCGAAAAACTTGTTTACATGGTCTCGAAATGTGTACGTCAACAAGTAATGCAAATATGTTATTTTATTTTTGCTTTTCATAAATTTTCTGACAGTTTTTTAATATAGTATCCTAGTTAGAGGAATGAATACTTTTCTATAAACTGTTTTAGTTATATTAAATGGATCATAAACTAACTAGAATAAAATTGTACATCATCTGTAGGTTATCAGTAATACATAGGATGTATGCTTATCTAACTGGACTGGACTACAATCAATAACGACTATGAAAAAGATAAATGTTTATTGGTAATAAGTTGATATTGAATTATTACAAGTTGTTATACACAGGAAGATAAAATTAAATTAAAAACACACTTACGTGGCTGCACTTCATATCAGATTTTAGTGTCGCTTCAACAGCAAAATGAAAAGCAACCAAAACACGTGGTTCAAATTGTTTACTGAACATAACTGGTACTAAACGTTTTAACCAATCGGCCGACCCCCCTGTATACTGATTTTCACAGCAATAATTTGCAGTGTCTGATTGATTGTTAGAAAAAGATGTCTGTGACTCTGAAGTATCGGATGCGTTCTTCTTACAAGTGTGTTGAAAAGCAGCAACTAAATGTTGACGAGCAAATTCTATTGGTGAATGTGAACGTACGAAAGGCATCACTAGGTTGAGTGTACAAGAAGCATTTACTGCAGCGGTCAATTCACTTAAAAACAGAAGAGAATAATTGTAGCATATAAGTGGTGAGCCTGAAAATGTCCTACTGACAATAAACATTCTCTTAGATATTATCAAAATATTACCTGAAAAGGAAGTTAAATTGACAAAGGACATGAAAAGTGCTCTTAGCAGTCTAAACATGATTTAATTACTTAGGAGTAAAGCGCAAACTACTGCTTTTATAAGAACAGGAGATTAGGTTCGAAAGGCTACCTAAACTTAAAACGTGCCCATTCTTATTAGTTATTTCTCTATCACCTTTTCTTTCCACTTCTCCTTTTTCTTCCCCCTTCTCCTCTTCACTTTCTAGATGTTTCTGAGAGACTTCTATTCAATGCTGATTGGATAAAATGTTTCCCAGCGTCTTTAGGGTCCCTTAGGGCTTTTTTGAAGGAATAATATGGGTCGCCCCAACACCTTCCTCTAGTGGCTTTCCGACTTAAGAAGCTTAAAAAAAGTGTTTATTGAATTTATCATATAATTGTCAACATGAAGAGTATTCATGTGGACCTGAAAAAAATAGTTCCATTGTGATTGAGGCCACATGGAGCACAATACATGTCTGTACACAAGTTGTATTCCGCGAGTATACACAATTCATACAGTCACCATGTATAGAAATAAATATATGTTAGATTGACTCGAGTAACATTTTTCATTAGTTAGTGTGAATTACGTTTCTTATTAGTCATAGTAATATAGACATTGAAATATAACCTTAGATAGTGATATTGAGAAAATACTCATAAATTGTTATTTTTTCATAACGCAATGAGTAAGACACTAAAGAAATATGTAGAATCCAATTACTCACAATCTCTATTAATGATTTTTATCATATTTAGACACGATAGTTTTTAATTAACAACGTTTTAGTTGAGGTTTTAAAGCAAGAAACTCTAAACAATTTCGTAACTTTATATGAACTTATAGCGGTAATTTAGTTAGTAAGCAAAATAACAAAAACATGAAAAGAATTACACTATAAATGTTTTAAGACATTAACTCAGTTAAGGTAGAGATTTGTGAAAGTGACAGATGCTCCAATTAATCTATTACTGATGAAAATTCCCATTTTGCCGTTCGGTAAATAAAGAAGGAACTAATTGAGCGAAGAAATTTCTTTTCAATTAGTTTTTCATCATGGCTTTACACTAATATATTTTTCATACTCCTCCCACTCTTTTTTTTAAATGTTTGTAATTTTTGTTTCTATTGCTTTTGAACTTTATAACTTCTCAACATTCATCTCTTGATTTTTACGTAACTACTATCCTATTGACCATCCGTTAAAATTCTGTTCCTTCTCTGTTTCTTATATTACGCAACGTAGCAACTTCTTGATTTAATAATTATTTTGAATATTATTAATCCTCTTTCTTCCAATTACTCAATATTAATTTAAATGTCATTATGTAACTATTACGTAACGTATCCACTTGATGAGTATTATATCATTATTGTAAATCATATATATATTAGTTTAGAGCCATGATGAAAAACTAATTGAAAAGAAATTTTTTCGCTCAATTAGTTCCTTCTTTATTACTAATGAGCTTAGACTATATCAAAAACTATAGCTAGATTTAACTGATCGAAAAGCGTTTAATAATGCATTTTGTTAATGAAAAAAAACAACACTCATTTCTAATATATTTTAAAACGTTTAAAATAGTTCTATGTTTTTGTTCATGATTCATTGTTTACTTATTCACTATTAAACATCTACGATTTATAAAAATTTGACATATTAAACGTAATTTAGAACAAGTGATGAGTGAGCAAATCAACAAACCTACCGCAATTAATTTTTCTACGATCAATCAATCATAGTTTTAAAATGAAACATGTGGATTATCTAAATTAAGAAACTTAAGAGCTACGATAAACAAATCAAGAATATTGATCCATAACCATGCTCATCAAACCATACGGTACATGAAACGACAACAGTAGAAACCATTCATTATTACTTTAATAAAATAATTGTATATTACCAATCAAGAAATTATTATATGAACCAAAGCCGAAAAACATTTACAACAATCAAGCTGGATTACTTACGGATTAGTAGATAGTACAGCACTAGTTAAACATGCAAAATATTTTATTACTTCATCTTGATGAAATGCTAAACAAAATAACCATTCAATCGCATGTTGACGCATCATTTCACTATGACTTCCACTCCCACCGAATAATGCTAAACTCATTAGACAAACAGCTGCATGACGTAAAGATGGCAGATCACTTGAACGACAAGCATAAATTAAACTACGAAGACCACCATTTTCAACTACTGTATCACACATTGTCTCTGTATGCTTTAATAAAGCTAAATTAGATGATAAAATCGATAAAAAAATACATTGACAAAAAGAAATAATGTTTCCTAAATAAAGAAAAAATTCCTCATCACAGTCTTATTTATCCTATATTTCATTATCCGTTTTCTCTATCGTAACCCTAAAATGACAGAAGTATTACTTATGATATCTTTGTGCAACTCTCAGATGTAACAGGAACATTATTAACATAAATAAATGACGTTTGAATAATGCGAACTTGATTTATAAAACACAACTATGCTTGTTTGTAACTGGTGGACATAAGAAGTATTATATCTAATACATACAAAGGATATATCCAGCAAACATATCAGTGCTGAGTGACCAATGTATGGTTAAAGTCAAGCAATGGATAGTAAAGATAGTTATAACCATGATAACATCAATATACAGCCTGCTTTTACTTGAATGGCAAATACACCTTGTATACGTTCATGTTCTAAATTTTACAAATGGAGTACATTTTAACAGGAACTGTCATTGGTGAGGTTACTCTTCAATGAGCTAGCATTCTACACCTTCCATTGGTAAGTGGCTAAAAGAAATGAGATTCTAGGACTAGAATTTGTTACATTTTTTAATAAAATGACTCAAATGCATAAAGAATAATGCATAATGGCATGAAATATTGGCACGACGTCTGGAGAGAATATTACTTAGGGGTGGTTGTAAAGTTAATAGAACATTCTAATTTAGCTGTTGTTACCGCATTTCAAGTGTAGTCTGTTTACTCAAAATATGCTCAGAATACCATAACTACATTTTCGAATAAATCATTCAGTTCAGTCTTCGAAAATGAAGGAAACACTCGAACGTATCTGGAAGGTAGATCGTCTGGCTAGCTACTCTAATACCTAAAGATATTATCAATGTTGGATTGCGCTTTTATATTTTAAAAGAAATTGAGATAGAAAGTTCATATTCACAAGATATGTCTACTACCGAAAATTTTCTAATTACAAGAAACCATTTCTTAAGTGATCTCAGTTACGAATAACCATCACCCAGATATTAATCAATGTAAATATTGTATGCAAAAATGTATATTCACACTCGAGTCAAATAAATAATGACTCACGTTCTAAGATTCCCAAATATTCGCGATAGATATCTACATCTTCACGGTATTCCCAACATTTTCCGATAATATTCTTGAGTAAATTAGTTATATGCCCATGTGATGGTAACTTATCATTGTACAGTAGAGGATTTTGCGTTGATGATAAAGCTGTGGGAGATAATAATTTTGTGGTACCACTCGTATCAATTGATTTTTCATAATCATTATCATAGGTGGGTGAAGTGTTACACGGAGAACATTCTTGTTTATGAATAATCAACTTATCTACTTTGTCAAACTCATCTTTATGCAAAACATTAGAGTGCTTTTGTGAAACTAATTTCTTATCTAGTATTTCGAGCAAATGATTTTCTGATAAAATCTAAAAATAAAAAAATACTGATTGCTAAAACGTTTTACACGAGAAAGCACTAGTTTCAGGTTAACAACAACATTTGACTGTTTAAACCGAGTGCGGTTCGAACCTGCAATTCAGCGGTTGTCAGTCGAGTGTACTTAATAGTATGATTGTGTCATATTGATGTGCAAATAGAAATTCAAGGGAAGCTTTATTTAGAATTCCGTACAAAAGAAACTATTAAGCTAATTAAAGAATACTATCTATGGCAATCACATGAATATTAATCTACAAATTCTGGTTTCTATAGATCCCTTGTTTATCACATTCAGTCTCGAAATATAGTGAATCATTAGTATGTAGGAACTTTCCGAAACCAAGCTTCACTGGCATTTGTCACAAACTTTGAAACAGAATCGTATTTTATTTGATTGTCCTTTCCCATACCCAGCGCTGACGATCAATTGATTTTTTAAATACGAATTGTTACTCAAAAAACAGAATATTCACATTTCTTTTTAGTTCAAATCTCCTTATGGTTGTCTCCTGAGGTGACGCTTGTCAAACAGAACTGACTAATTATTTTAGTGTTCAAAAGGAATTTATGAAGGTTGTTGCAAATTGATGACACAACCATAGTTCGCCGACAAGAAGTAATCAATTCTAATTAAAAACAATAATTGTTGCTTGAAGAGATATATAAAACTTTCATCATACATCAATCTTTTACATTACGGCACTACACTAAGGTATGTACTCACACATTTTTCGTAGGCTTTTAAAGCGAAGCTGGGTTTATGAGTGCACTAATTATTACGAGATATGACTTACTTTTATAGTAAATGATACATAACAAAACAATTTCACAGAATAAACGGACGGTTGTATTTTCAAATTTTTAATCAATGGAAAAAACTAAAGTTTTTATAACTTAATGAAGTATTTTTTGTATCTTACGTAGATTAACTGATATGTTTAAATTGATATAACAATGATCTATAAAAATAATAAACATTTTATTAGAAATGTTCTTAATATAAAACGTATTTTATCATTAATGTAGATTAGTAAAACCCTTGAAACTATTTTCAACTTTCTACAGCTGAAAATTTACAAATATACCCGAATTCAGTTAATAGGAAATGGATGACAGACCCATAATATCCACTATTATCGTTAGAAATAGCATTACTGTAATATGCGCATTCTAGTCGATATTCTGTATAAATACCGAGTCATTTAATTTTTAAGTGGTATATATTCATCAGAATTGATTACTAATTTAGCCCTTAAGTAACTTTCAAATGGCTTATATGTATTTGAAGAAATTATGATTTGAAGATGGATTCGTTTATATCAGATAAAGGCGTAACATATATTTACTCATACACAAAAATTAACTTGCCAATTTCATCGTAAGTTTTCAAGAACGGTTTCATTTATTGGTCATAATGCAATGATTTATTTTAAAAATAGAACAATGTTAATTAATCTGTTTTGATAATATAAATTGTCAGAAGGCTTTGTGCTCAACTATCCATACTAACGTCTCTGAAATTGGTGGCATTAAGTAATCATTATTCATGAAAAAAACTGATGAAATACATAATTAAAGTGCATATTAATTGTGATACTATACATGGACATTTTGTTGGAAAGTTCCAGACAAAGTGACAATACGTGCGAATCGAACAAACATTTTAAATACCTGACTGAGTAGTCGTGCTGAACCAATAACAACCCGTCTGTTAGCTTCATTATACTGACTGACCCTTGGAAGATTTAAGTCCGATGTTGTACTGGAAAGTAATTTCACAGGTTTTCCATCTACATTATCTGTAGATTCTGTAAATAGTTCACTTGTTTCTGGATCATCATAATGAGAACATTGCTCATGGATATTCTGAGTAAAATCAGTAATAGGCGCTTCCGAAGTAGACTCAATAGGTTTGATAAGTCTTGATGCAATTGTTTCTAAAAGACCATCAGGTTTTATAAGATCGGCAGTTAAAACATTCAAATCAGCCTGATTTTCACATGCTTGACGTGCTTTATTTAACCAATATTCACAGTTGGTTATGGTCTAAAAAGTACAAAGAAAGTTAAGGTATCTTGATCATGTAATTGGATTGTTTGTTAAGAAACATATTTCTTCGTGAGAATGAAAACATGTAGCTTCGACCAAAATTGTTAGTCTATGCTTCGTGCGTGTTATTAGTCATAAAAATAATTTATCTGGAACTTACATTTGCCTACGCCTTATATGAAAATATATATGAATGACCGAACTGATCGATAAATAGAGCATTTTAGTTAACAAATGAATAAACAAGGAATCGTAGTTCTGGAACTAACGTTAAATAACTTTTATTGTGATAATTAATAGAGTTGTAGTAAATGTACTAAATTCTATGGAATAACAAAACAATCGAAGTAGTCAAACTCTGAGGTTGCTGCAGTATAAGCTTTGATGATTAAAGTAATTTTTCATGTACTCAAAAACCAAGTCAGTCTATCAGTTGTCCAGTAGAGGAAACACCACTAAAAAGAGGAAACAAATCAAACCCCTATTTATATTGAGCATTAATTTGGATAAAGTAAGAGGAAATTGAAAGTACTGAAGAAATGAATTTGTTTAATCGATGGAAAACGATCATTTTAATTATGAGACACCAAAAATTATTTATAGATTCCCATCTATATAGATTCTTTGAGTTAATCGATAAGCAACCTTTTGAAAACGTGCTATGAATATCGATTTCAGACTTATCTTTCAAGACATTATAAATGTGTGATATTATGTTTGTATTTAGGATATATATACCTCGAACGACGGCTTAGAAATGTATATCTGTTTATGAAAGTATGAATATACAACTCAGCAGTTTAATTCATGCCGTTACAGAGCTGAAATGAACAAACATCTAGTGCTGGATAAATACGCTAATTGCCGGTAACTGATAATGAATGTTTGCGAAGCATGTCAAACACGTAGCAGAAGAAATTAATAAGAGTTAGGTACCAAGCGAAAGCTGGTTAATCAGTTAGTGAGATCGGAAACATTCATTAATCGATAATGATAAAACTCGTTGCACAAACGTTAACCTTTGTATGCTTTTTGGCTAGAATGAGAGTAGACTGATTAATTAGTGGTTGATGACAATGTAGACGCATTTGTTTTTTATATTCACCTAAAAGTTGAGTTTCATATTATTTCAGTCTTTTGGATTACATTTTCTCTATTTAATCATCCACTGAAGTTGATATTATTACGTTGACATTCATGACTGTCATATTTCTATTATCTTACAGAAATAAATTGCGATGAATCGAACAAATGCACATTTATGTAAGATCCTAAGTTATTACTGACTGGTTGGTGTACTATATATACATGCAAGGATGTCATTAGTTTATTATTTTAAATTTTCGTTCAACTGCATTTTAGTTGGTAACTTTTTATTTTACGATAAATTTGGAGAAATAATCATTCTGTTGAGATAAATGAATTTCAGCAGAAATGATTAATTATTCAATCATTTTTACTTTCGTATCACAGATCAAATAAATTCTAAAGGTACAATGTACTGAATTATATAAAACTTAAAAAGAAAGTAGTTACCTTAATTCGATGAGCTGTAAGGTGTAATTTTTACAGTCTACGATTTCTGATGAATAAATTAACAGAGAATGTAGACGTGAATGATGCCAGGTGTCGACATAATAAACATTTTTAACTAAAACATTTTATTTTATCAAATCATAAATAGTGATTTCTTTCATTAATGTCAATAGTTCGATCACTTCACATATGATCAACATTAAACCTGTTTTTTAAATGACATCGTGATACCACGGAGAAAAAGGTTGGTGTCCATTTCTAGACTTGTTTCATCACATGGGGTTATTAAAGAGATATCTTAATACCACCTATATTCACAGGTTGATCATATATTTCAATGACGGCTAGTAGAATAATCGAACTTCTGTACCAAACATGATATTGATAAATTATCTACTCAGAGGTGTGCATTTACGCTTTCATACTTAGTGATTTCACGTATGATATTTTCACGTAAAAAGAACAAAATAACATGGAAAAGCAATTTAAATCTATCTTTAAACACCTGATTCACTTAAATTTCATAACCTTTGTCAGATAAGTTAATTTGTGTGTATCATAAAATGAATTAGAGGGTTTACAAAAAAAATACGGAATTCAACTGTTAACTTACTGCAAGAATCAAGCTAAAAATCTAATAACTCTATGAATAGCATTGATTTATATCTTGTGTAGTGCACGAAGTTGTCACATCGTATCACATAAACCTAACTAAAACATTTGATCAGTCGTATAAAACTTGAAAATTATTGATCAATAATGTTCTTTCCTACCCAGATTAAATCACTGGATTTACTCCAACTTAGCCTTTTACATTATTATTGTACTTTGATGAAGGAATTAATAGTTTTACAGAATTAAAAAATGAAAATATAATTTAGCAGAATTTTAATTCGAAATGTTTTTTTAGAAAAGTACTGTCTAATTTTAATATTCAGACAGATACATTTTATCTTTTTCAAATTTTCAATCATCAATGGTTGTAAACGATTTATAATATATACAATTCCATGATTATTGGTTTACCTAAATGTATTATTTACATAGAAATTATGTAAATATTATGAAAAGAAAAGTTAATAACATTAAGATCTGTAAATAAACACAATAAACAGTAATGTATTTTGTGAAGAGGTGGATATGTTTATCAAATATAAAACAACATGAAAAATTACCTATTTTACTTGGCTTTTATGAAAATATTAGAACAATAGAATTTATTTTTAGCTTCGTTTAATATGATTTGGTTAATTTTTGTAAAGTAATATTAAAATCGATACTAAGCACTTAGTAACTAATATGGGTATATGAAATATATTACATTTAATTTTACTTTTCTAGACAATAGTAATGCAGTAATTATGTATCAAAAAAGAATTGAATGAACACCGCCAATAATGCTATTATGGGAATAATTATGATAAATAATTAAAAGAATGCAAACTACAGGATGACGTCTATACAAAGAGTGTACAACAGAAATTAATTTAGAATAGACTAAAATTAATTAATTTTATCTTGTATATTTCAATGTTTTATAATTAAATGAAAGCATTACCTTATATTCTTCATTTAAACGATTCATGTCTTTTTCGTTCCGTACAAGTACGGAATTGTTATCTTGTGGTATTGTAGTCATTGTTGTTATAATATTAGCAAGTATTGTCTGATGGCTGCACGATGGTCGATAATGATGAAGATGATGAAACAGTGAAGGGTGACAACGAAATATGTCTTAGTTTTTCCATTTCTGATATCATTTTTTGTTCAATCATTTGAAAATTGTGGTTACTTTTAGGATTAATATCATTAATAATTTTATTATCAACATTATCACTAGTATGATTGATAAATGTATCAAATCTATTATTAAGAACACTTGATAATGATGATGATGTCGTTGATTCTTTGATATATTCTTTTTTAATAGCTTTATTACCCATAATAATTGCGTCGTTATTTCTCAGATCAGATTGATGATCAGTAGCCTTTAAAACAAATTTAGAACTTGATGATACTGACTGATTTGCGTCAGATTTTGAACGATGCTGAACAGATAATAATCGAGTTGAATCAAGATTATAATCTCTTTGTTGCTGCTGTTCTTGAAACTGTCTCAATAAACGTGCACAGTCTGTATTTTGAAATGGTGTAAATGGTGTTGACTGTGAACGATTCGCTCCATCTTTTCTCATTATTGGTGGTAAGTTGTGCTCTCGAAAATGCACACGATGCACCTGAACACGTGATGTTGCTAAACCAAACACAAATATGTAAATAAGATTAGAACTAATAACCAATCAAACTCTTTAGATTAAAATATTTTACTACCGCTAACAACACGTTAATGCCAACATCCTAACAAATAAGAAATTCCATACACATTTTTTCGTTTAACTTGAAAAGAGCAAGAACAATGGTGTAAGCAGAATAACCTAGATTCCTTATATTTCATTTTATTCTCATTCAGTTTTTAAAAACATTTAATGCTCAAACATCATTACTATAAATGAAATTCAGAATGCTTTAATTAATAAAAATAAAGTTGGTCACTAGCTAGCAAAAATAAGTATGAGGATATTGATACAAGGAATCCTAATAAAGAATTGATAAGATGTTAAGATCAGATCACATTAAAAAAATGTTTAATATGATATCTAATTCTAGCATCTAAACTAGTCGGTTTTATTTTATTTGGATTATTAAAACCCTTGTTACACTACTTACGAACTAGTTTGTAATTAGCTAACCTTATAAGTCTTTTTATCAAAGACAAAGCAGCTACATGGGTCAAACAGAAATGATGGTATGCCTTAAATTTTTTGAACATGTTCCAAAAAGCTTCAGAACAACAGAGAGAACGACTTTAAACAGTGAAATCTCTAGACATTTCTTGGATAAAGGACATCAGGTCGATACCTTCAATCATTCAAGGTGATTAACAAACAGAGAAACTTCAGTCTTCGGAAGTTCACTGGAGCCGCTGCTATCAGGCGTCGAAAACCTGACTTAGTGTTCAACAGTAGGTGGCTATTAATCTTTCCTTGCCTTGGCGACAAACATTCCTTCATTGCATGTTAAAAAATTTTTAAAACTTTCATTTTATTACATCATTACGTCTTTTTATTTCGATTGTCTTTTTGATTAGTAATCTTATTTTATTAACTGAACTTTACTCATCCTACTCTTATCAGCGTTCACTCATTAAGTAATCACTTATTTCTAGTCCATTTGATCCTCGTTACAATTAATTCTGTAGGATGTTCTTTTACATAAGGTATGTATTTGCAATATTTCGTCTATTAAATTCATCTACACCCTTGCTGTACTGTGTCGTCAAAATAACTTCCGACTAAAATATTTCATGTAAGTAATTTAAACCCATTCTGTAATTATGACTTATAAAAATCACAGGTTGCAAGCAGCCGATGAGAACAAACTGAAATAAAATGGTCAGTATGAGGTTGTGGAGATTGTTAAGGTCTTGATTGAGATCATGAATCGATTGATGCTAAACCACCACTGAAAACCTGGAAGCGCTGGATGGCCGTTTCGTCCAAGTATGGGATTCCTCAGCAGTGCGCATCCACGATCACGTTTGCCGGTTTAGAACCCAGGACATTCGCTCCCGGGAACAAACGCCTAACCTCTAGACCACTGAGCTAGTCTGCTGAAATATCTGTTCAAGACGATATGGGGAACCATGTGTATGAAATAAATTTTAAAAAAGGATATTGCTTTAACGTTACAGTTTTGCAGTTTCGTAAAAAAATAGTGTGGTTCGTGGTGCACAAAGCACTATCAAATATGAATAAGAACCAGTTTGTGGGTTAATATTTGTTCAATTATTAGACAAAATTTTGAATCAGTCACTTTAAGTTCCTTAGACTACAGTAGAAATTACGGTTGCTAGCTAAATACCAATTTGTATTCTAAAAGAGTAAAAACCGCTCATCGCGAATTCAACTTTCGTTTAGCATGATAATAAGAACTTGTTTAAATTATTCCAGACCTAGTCACGTGTTATTCTTGTTGCAAAATATTCTGAAAACCATTATCATTCATAGTGTAATTAATCTTAAGCTACTTTTTTCCTCTATTACCTTCTGATACTTAGATATATTCAAGGGATTTTATTTTATGAAATCATGTGATCACTAGTAACTAGCTTCAAAATTCAAATCCTGGAATTCTAGTGAAAAATCGAGGCCTGTGGAGTTAAATCCGTGTCGAGAGTGAGGCATTAATCCATAAAATTCAATGGACGAGTGTTTTGTCATATCATTGATTAATTAAAATTGGGCTTTAACGCCATCGGACACGGGCTCAGTGATCTAGACGTTAAGCAATCGCGCGCGTAATCAGGGGCCCTGGGTTTGATTTCTATGTGCAAAGCCACGGATAAACACTGTCGAGGAGTCTCACACTAGGAAAAACGGCAATTCAGCGCTTCCAGTTTTCAATGATGGTCTAGCTAAGATCAGTATTATTTAAGCTTTGTAAACCTAAACAAACGTACAACTCTTTCAGTTAGTTTATTCTATTCAAGTCAAAAAGTGTCTCTTGTGATGTATTAGAATTTGTTATGTGCACACTAAATAGCATTACATGTTCTTTTACGGAAAAAACGCAAAAACTAATAAGAACTGGGGATTTAAATAGGTCGTAAAACACTAGTAAGTCAAGGTTTCGGGATGTACGTTACAACAGTGTAAAACATTCTATATTAATTTACCAGATCCACTTGACACCTTTTCTAATTTTCGTACTTCGTAGCTGCGTTGTGATCTGTCTAATCCACAACTAGGTGTTACGGAGGCTTCCACAGCTTCTGGTAAGTCCCAATAAACTCGTGCTTGTTCTGAAACATTTCCAGATGTGTCGCTAAAATAGAAACCACGGATTAGTTGTAAAAATTTTAAATGTCACATTACCACTCGTCGATCGGAAGCTGTCCGTCAAGAAAAAAGCTTGCATCACTAGTTGAACGCTTCCAGTTAGAGTTCTCATCTTCTGTAGAAGAGTAATTGGAGTAATCAAAAATGTGTTCACGAAGTTCGTCATGTTTCGATGAACTACTGTGTAAGTTCATCCTGTATAGTGATGGAAGGTTATCACAATAGCAGTATCACAAGCCTAAAGCTTTTTCAGTAGCAGATCAGGTTAAAAAATGTAATGAACAATGAAAGTTTTCGTAGTTTTTTTGCAAAATCATTAGAATCAAATGAAATGATATTTTATTACACAAGTAATTTTGTGCCTGAAAATAAAAATTTTGAACACGTCAGTAAATTTATAATATCTTAATGTATCAAATTATTCGATTATAAACTTTTTGGCGAATTTCGTGTAGTGAATACACTATCTTTAGGTTAAAATTATCCGTTGTGGTGAAAACTGAATTCTCAAGAAAAGACACTGATAAATTAAAAATTGAGGAGAGTTTTCACAAACCAAAATATTCGTAATGTTTTTACAAGTATTAAAAATAATTTTACTACGAAAAAATTCTTAAGGCTAAATGGATAGTTTTATTTATTTAAACACGTAGACAATGATACAAGAAGACACCAAATATATATTCGCCACACTTTGTCATTCGATTTGTATGTGAGCTGGAATACTGCCAGGGTGCCCAAAGCGATGGTAACATCAGTGTTTCAAGTTGTTATATGTTTAGTAAATTAAAAGTAGAGTACGATATAAGTATTCCAGCTAGTGTTATATGGACTAAGAACGCGCTGCGCAGATTACTGTTTAATTTGAACGTGACTGGACAAAAATACTTATGTAATACGAATAAGCTCTATGTTTTGGTGGTTTCGGATTGACTTTTACTCACTTCATCAAGCCTTAAAAGGTGGATAAACATTGAAGAGTTTATTCACTGATACTACTGATGACCACACAATCGAAGATCCTCAATTTATAAAGAAATCAGACTTAACTTTAACGGTTAGTCATCAAAAATGTAGTTTTTAAGAAGCCAGGTTTGAACGTTTTTCCTAACTTTCTAATTTCAAAACTTTTTAAACAGGTTTTGGTCAGAGTTTCGATGGAACTTGATCACAGAAAAGTCGTTGTGTTTGTGCACTTACTCTGCACGTCACATCAGTGCAACAGTTAACCTATTCAAGAGTACTAAAAATTCGTATTCATTAGTTTGTTTATTTATATTCTCTCGTTAACTAAAGATATTCCTGATCAACAGGTCGTGAACAGTATAAAACTGATAAGAACTCAGACTTTAAAGAACTGAATTGCAGACAGCGCTTGAGCTATGTTGCATTACGTTCTCACTTATTTGTTAGCACTTTATTCTTTAAATGAAGTTCATCCAGTTTTATGTCCTTTTGCATTCCGATTGATAGGATAGCAATACTTACAAGAGATGAGGGTATTTTTCAATAACGCATAAAAGAAAAACATCCTACTGAAATCGTTCAGTGGTTTCTTTTACTACTATGAGGAAAAGTAGGATTTACCAAGATAAATGAATTAAACTCAGTTATTTCCCTTCCCAGGTAGTAAAACTTAACGTGAATAGACAATACTGAGCTCTCGATACAAAAAGACATTTTAGTACATTAAAAACGGTAATTCCTTGTGATCTAAGTTGACCACAAGTAAGTTAACTTATAAAAAGGAATTGTTTGAAGCTGTTAATTTAACAGTGTTAATAAGATTGTTTCCAACAGAGCCTCTCCGAAATACAGTAAAAAAATGACAACATTTTCAAAGCTAGTAAAGCATTCAAAGTTGATGGGTAAGACTCTTCTGCAGTTAAAGGATTGTTTGATATCAGCCATCCTTCTTGCTTTACTTTAACCTGAAGCCACCTAACATGTCAGATACCACTAAACTTTTGTAGCCAATGTACTGTTTCATTACAAAAAACTTCTGACAAATCTATGGGGTACATTTACAAACGTACTTGCTTCCCTTTCTAAATGTGCTCATACACTAACTACTAAGTTTTCATTACTTAAAAAGCATTTCTGGGAGGAATAAATCTCCCCCTGGTTCCAAATCATGCTTGATTTGCACAACTTCAAAATTAAATCATTCGGTACGAAGCGTTGGATAAAGCGTTGTTTCGTGAGTCAATAACGTTTACTGGTTTGTTTAGTCTATGAAATCAGTGAAAGAGAAAAAACTTACTTAACCTATCGGTGAAGTACGGTCATCAAGTTCTAAAAAAATTTCTATTTGGTTACTGTTTTAAAATTCAAACTACAATCTTCACTACCCAGCAGTATCGCTGCAATACTGCTTTTGAGGAGAATCTGATCGGTAAAATTCTCTTTTATTCCCCCAGTTTTTTGTCGAGTTCAAATATCGAAACTGCTTATGACATAAAGAATTATTGTGTATGCTTAGTGGCCAATAACGAGGATGTGTTAGTAAAAGCCAGATTGAACCTCCGGAAAGCAAGTATACGAAGTGCTCAGAAAGAACAGTGGTAATTTTCCTCTCTGAGTTAGTATTATTATTTTGATCATAAATTACGCATCAAAACTAATGTTTTCACTTTAGTCGAATTTATTTCACTTAAATTATTCGCCAAGGGTATCGTTTTTTTTCAAAAGCAATTTATCGTCCGTACATTGGAGTTCGTTGGATTTTTCATACTTGTCTGAACATTTGGGTCTAACAGTTTTTCACTTTTTTCTGGTCATCAGTTACTTTTGTCTTTGGATATTGTTTGTGTCTAGTTCCTTTTTGAAAACCTCCGATCGATGACTGAACGGTACAAAAAAAACCATTAGAACCCTCTGATCAATACGTAGGGTCTTTAACTATGATGACGCTAAAACCTTTTTGACTTTGTATACAGTACCGTGCGTCCTAAACTCAAGTACAGCACACAAGTGCAAAATTTACGAGGACAACATTAATGGTTCACAACCCCAGAACAAACTACTTGTCAGTTGACTATCGACTTTCCCATCCAATCATCAACAAATGTAATTCACCACATCAACACGTGATTGAAGCTCAATCTATCGATGCTTTCAAAAGGAAGTTGGATTAACTGAAAGACCACCATTGCCAGGAACAACCGAGGCCACCTAGCCTCCCCTCCTTTCCAAACTGCAACTGAGACCAGATGACCTCATGTTCAGAACTTTTGGCGAACTAAACAGTAATTGATTAGTCTGCCCTTCGATTACATGGATAACTTAGACTATATGCACTACATTCCTAAAAATACTACAAAACCAAGATTATTAGTAGAATATAAGTATGTAGTTTATGTCGCTCATTCGCATAACTAAGAGTAGAGTTCCAGCTGTTTCAAGGTGGCAAAAACTGTAGGTTAAACTCGTAGGTTTAACTTGCGATAATTAGCGCTGAAAACAGTACGCAACTAACACAGTATTTCTTATGGACTTTGGTATGAAATAATCACGTACATCAGCACAATACTAACATACGTAACCTCGTCAACGTTGACAAATAATCCAGATCAGAATTTTTACAACATAAAAACAAAACTTCATTGAAGATCAAAATATTTAGATGAACCCCACCTAAAGTAAACACAACGGAGGAATAATTATACTAATGGAAGTCGACCATTCCAAAACATATTGTTGAGCGGATCTTTGGTAAAAGAGATGGGCAAATTCAAATGACTAAGCACGAACTGAGATATCTTCGTATAGCTTTTAGCAAGAATAATGCTCACGCCAAAAACTATATACATCATTATAAGTCATGAGATTTGATCATTTTAAACCAAGTTAGTCGTCTAATAGGCCGCAGTTATACTTCACCCCGCCATAAAAGCTCATGAGCAATAGTAAAATATCATTTGTGAGTAAAAACTTAGATCATAGTCTAAACACAACGTAAACAAACTCCAAACACCCAGAAACTCCAAACATTTTCAATGTTGCCACCATTGAACGAAAGGCAAACTTCTCTTCAGTTCAAGGCTGGACATGTGTATTGAATAATTCAATGTTAGTATTGCGAAATTATGAAAATGGAAGCTTCTAAAATTCTTCGCTCACAATGATTAGCTTTTAAAGACGAAAATAATTACTGTGAATAAATAATCACGCGCATATATTTAAATATTTAGGATACGTTTATTTCCACGTCTATTTAAGTTAATAGAACGTATATCATGTTCACTAAGAATGTAGGAAACTTTGACGGAATAAAATATTTTGTCGAGTTGTTCCTCATGGTTATCTAATTTTTAACTACAAAATAATTGCCAGTTATCCAAACGTTTATGTGAAGTGCTATGTCTAATAATTCAAATTATTCTAATCATCATACAAATGCAAGTGTTTCGGAAGACATATAAGAAACTCCGCTTGGTTATTTTTCGTGTGTAAGTCTGCTCAGCTACCTATTAAGCTGTAGGTGATGAGAAAAAAATGATTAAGTTTTCAGTTGTTTGTTGCCAGGTATTAGGTTTAGTACATGAAAAATAACGATGGTCGACTAAGCTAATGTAATTCCACGCGTCCCGTGGTCATATCAGCAAAACCATACACACTTGACATTTTTCTGAGATTTTCATTAATAAAAGTATGTCATCTTATGACATTAAAGCTGTTGAATCTTATTTAGCCCTAGTTACATCCGTTCGTTCAAATTTCATATACTCCGTCTGAGACAGAGTAATACATAACAGAAGCATGGAGATTATAAATTGCTTGTTGACTTTACAGGTGATGTGAAAATCGGTCATTTTGGTTGCGCAATATTTATTCATAGTTGGTTACGATTTAATGTTATTTGACAAATCACTGTATCCTGTCTAGTTGTTCTTTGTAAATCACTAAACTTTGAACGTTGTGTTAGTGATCTGTAATGCAAAATCAGAACAGTTTGTTGAACCTAACTGATGGTATCTCTAAAATTCTGAGAAACGGACCCATACTGGGGATAAATGTCTCTCTTTTATAACTTTTCATACCTGAAAACATATCTGATAACATAGCCGAAATTCTCTTATGTGGTAATGACTATTTTGCACGCCAAAGTTGAGTTAAGATGAAGAATACTTAAAAGTATTTTCACTTTTTTCTATCAGATTTGAATGTTCATCCATTGGTGATTTACAGGTTA